AAATGTATTAATTTACTAGCTACAACACTAATAAATGACCATAAACTAAAGAAATATGAGGGTAAAAAAATATTACACGTTCAAAATTGCCACCTTAACATGGCCAAAATGTGTGCATTGAGAAACACGTTCAATTTTGTCGTCTTAATGTGGTCAAACTGAGCGTCTTTACACGTACCAAATAAACGTGGCAAAAACTGACGCCTTAACACGGCCAAAATGTGTGTGTCTATATGTACAAAAGAAACGCATTCAAAATTGCTAATGCGGGCAAATTGTGCGTGTTGACACGGTCAAATTTCATGCGTTCCGTTTAAAGACTTTTGGCTCCATCCACCTTCCATACGAAATAACGTGTTTAGACACAATTACGTGTCCACGCGTTATATCGTTTGTCCACGTAACGTCTAAAGAAATATATGTCTTTAAGGCCTTCCATAGAAAACAAACCATTCGAATTAACGCGCGGAGACCTTGTTAGGAGCTTGATCTTTACTTTTTGTGATGATTTCGATTGAGTTTTGCTTGGTGCAATGCCGAAAAGTTGCTGTGTGGCGTTCTGTACCTCTAATAAGTTAAAAAACCCTGATCTGACACTGCGGTCAAGCCAGCCGCACTTCAGAAAAACACGGTCAAGCCAGCCGCGAGTGAAAATACTGCGCGTGTATTACTATAATTACGGTAATAGCAGGAACAACACAGAGGGAACGCGCTTTCAGAGCGCTTTTCATCTAGACGCCCAGAATTGAGATATGATGACATTTTTTAGGATTTTTTTTTACCCATCTGCCTTAACAGTTTATGTGATTTGACACAATTTTTATATAACGTCCCAATGGAAAACTAGTATTCGAATAGACTTGTTCGGCATTGCTGGGAATGCCCAGAAAAACGTCATAACCGTTTATGCCGTAGAAAACAAACCATTCGAATTAACGCGCGGAGACCTTGTTAGGAGCTTGATCTTTACTTTTTGTGATGATTTCGATTGAGTTTTGCTTGGTGCAATGCCGAAAAGTTGCTGTGTGGCGTTCTGTACCTCTAATAAGTTAAAAAACTTGATCTGACGATGTGTATGAGTGCTACCCTGCACTGATCTGTCGTTAGTCCCGTCCCCCTTCACCGCAACCCAGTTCTAATGGGACTTACAGTAACCCTCCTTCCCATCGCAATCAAATAAATCTCACTCCCTGATATTTTGTGCTGTCATAATCTATTAAAACATTTATTTCATATTATTATACACAATCCCTTACGAAAATTAGCAATGGTAGGCCTATTACTATAGTAAAAGTATAGTAGGCTAACCGTTTTTTTTGTTGGGTTTTTTTGGCGTTTTTATTACCAATTGTAGCCTATAACCACAGTTTTACTACAAATACCATGGTTAAACTATGGTTAGTGTAGCAAAACATGTTGTTTTTACCATGGTATAACTATAGTAACCAATAACCATGTTTTTTGGTATTTTATATACATATTTTCGTTATCTTTTTTTTTTACGGCATGTATTTATGAAAATGGTTAGGCAGCTGCAGCACGTTGTTTTTACCATGGTTTAACTATAGTAACCAATAACCATGTTTTTTGGTATTTTATATACATATTTTCGTTATCTTTTTTTTTTACGGCATGTATTTATGAAAATGGTTAGGCAGCTGCAGCACACACCACATAGAATAACGCTGCGCATTTCAAGGCACTTCAGTGGACCTTAATGTTACCTGTTTTGTCAATGTTAAAAAACTTTTTAATATATCAATAAGAAAGTACGACAGGCTTTTACTCAAGTCTTTATCACTTTATTAAAATGAAGCAAAACAAAACGACAAATATTTACTTTCACAAGCCTTCTCGTATAGGCTTGTAGTAGCCTAAGCTGTCTCTTGCTCAATTAGGTAACAAAAAATGTCGGAAAACGACACCTCTGGCCATTCCGTTAGGTCGTTTGTCCAGTCACAGATACCGTACGGACAGTCCGACCCAATACGGCTCAGTTTTTATGTGTATGTTGCTCTGTCGAGTGGCAGAAATGATTTTATGTAGGCCAATCTATGTCAACACCATGCTTTTCCAATGAGGGGGAAAGGACTGTTCCCTTTCGATTCGGTCACTCTACATTGCTATGGGAATTACCCTTTTCTCCAAATATTACTGAAGCCTTATTGAATCACGCCAGTGAAACTGGTCAATGGCGTTCAAGTGCGCGAAATATGAGGGGCTCCAACTCTATATAAAGCAGTGCTTGTGGCCATCGTCCAAGGCGATGAACTCGCCCAACTAGCCCTGCCGTGCTCTTCCTCTGCAGCCTCTTTCGAGCCAAGGAGGAAAGACTTCTGATGCGGATCTGTCAGGGTCAGGTGACGAGCCCACACCGGCTCAGTGCCCACGCGCTCCTCACCCCCCTGCTGCAGGTCCCCTTCCAGTGCGCTCCATGACCGCTGTTCTCCGCCCCTCCCCCATCGCTCAAGATGTGGTACCCTTCGGTGCCATGGAGGGCGCTGAAGAGGAGGATGATGCCATTTCGGTGGCAGCGTCTACGAGAGAAGAGTGGTCTAAAAGCCTGCTGGATTACACTGTGCCCCACGGCAGCGACGCGGGGGACCTCCATCATAGTGATGTCAAGCTCCTTAACGTCCTGTCCAAGGCAGTTGATGAGCTCGATTTGGAGTGGGCGCCTCCTGCAGAGCCGGCCAGAAGCCGTCTGGACGAGTGGTACCTCCAGTCGGATCGCGGCCGAAAGGAAACCCCGCGGAGGTCCGGCCCCTTTTTCCCCAAGGTGCACGATGAGATAACAAAGTCGTGGAACGCACCACTCTCTAGTCGAGTGCACAACCCGGGATCTTCCCTCCTGTCTTCTGTGGATGGCGCTGACCAAGTAGGGTATGTTAAACTTCCCACAGTGGAAGAAGCCGTCGCTGCCCATCGCTGTCCTTGGGAGAGTGAGAAACAACTTGCCTCTCCCCTCTAAATCTTGCAGTGGGAGGTCCCCCACTGCAAACTTCGCCGGCAAGGCTTTCTCCGCGGCGGGCCAAGCAGCTTCAGCACTGCACGTTATGGCAATACTCCAGGTGTATCAGGCCAAGCTGCTCAAGTCTCTGGATGAGGACGGGCCGGACCCTGAAGTGTTCAAAGAGCTCCGACGCGCCACGGATCTGGCCCTCAGAGCGACAGTGGTGACAGATCGAACGATCGGCCGCAACATGGGGAATCTTGTGGTGCTAGATCGTCACCTGTGGCTTACTCTGACCAAGTTAAAGGACTCGGAAAAAACGGCCCTTCTGGATGCTCCCGTGAATCCCTCAGGTCTCTTCGGAGCAGCGGTAGAGACGTTCACGGAGCGTTTCGTTGAAGCGCAGAAACAGTTGAAGGCTATTAACCACTTCCTGCCAAAGCGCGCCGGCGCGAACTCTCCTGCGCGTTCAGGGCTCGAAGAGCCAGAGACCCTGCCCTGACAGAGACGGCAGGCCACCGGCACCGGAATCAAAGCCGCGTTCCTGATGCTGTCTCTCGGAGGAGGAAATCTGCACCCAGCGCCGAAGACGAGCCACTGAAAAAGTCTGCTCGCTCCACTGTGTGTTCACCACGCCCCCCTGCCTGTTGCGGGCGGCGAGAGCAATTGTCATGTTTGTGTTTTGACTGTTCCACTATGCAGTGCAATAAAGTTGAAAAACATACAAAACTCACCTCAATATCAAAGCAATTCTCCTCCTCTCACTCTCCTCTCCCCCATCACTCACTCTCACACTCGTGTGGTATTAAACTACCCGCCCCCCAGCGGCGAGTTATCCCTCACGGTGTGCAGTCTGCCTCGCCCGCTGTCACAGCTCACAGAAGCGTGGCAGGCACTCTCCAGGGGTATCAGAGTGGGTTATGAAATCAATAAAGAACGGCTAGTTCTTCAGTTCTTCCGCAGGCCACCCTGTTTCAACGGTGTGGTAATGTCCACTGTACGGGAGCGGAATGCCTCAGTTCTGCGAGAGGAAATACACAACCTCCTCGCAAAACGCGCTGTAGAGACAGTGTCCATAGCAGACCGCGAGAGCGGCTTCTACAGTCGCTATTTTCTGGTACCAAAGACGGCGGACTCCGCCCAATGTTGGACCTGAGAGCGCTGAATCGTGTGCTTTCGAAGCGCTCGTTCAAAATGATTACGCTGAGACAAATCCTCTCACACATCAGACCGAGAGATTGGTTTATCTCTGTGGATATAAAGGATGCTTATTTTCACATTCAGGTAGCCCCTCGCCACAGGTGTTTCCTGAGATTTACATTTGAGGGGATAGCGTACCAATTCACAGTCCTACCCTTCGGTTTATCCCTGGCCCCTCGTACGTTTACGAAATGCTTGGATGCCGCTCTCGCTCATCTTCAGAGCTTAGGGCTGACTGTGAATATGCAAAAGAGCTTGCTGGTACCGAGCCAGAACATCTCCTTGTTAGGAGTGGAGCTGAATTCAATCAATATGCAAGCATGTCTGTCGGAGGAGCGCTCACAAAAACTGATCAGCTCTCTCGCAGTCTTCAAGTTAGGGCACTCTCCCCCGCTGAAATGCTTCCAGAGGATGCTCGGCCAGATGGCTGCCGCCTTGACAGTGTGCAAACTATAGGACTCCTACATATACGACCGCTTCAGCTCTGGCTAAAGATCCGGGTGCCACAGAGCACATGGCGCACGGGCACCTTGCGCATCAAAGTGACGCGCGACTGCTGGGATGCGCTGACCCCTTGGCGCGATATGACTCTGTATCGCCTTAAGGTTGTCTGTGTGTAGAAGAGCTGAGTGGTCAAGGAAGATCACGCTGACGTGGTGCACTGTCCTGCAATGTCCTGCACTGCCCTGTACATACAAGTTGAGTGAATTTCATATAAAGTACACAATAAAGAATATCTACTTTAATACTGCTTCATCTCATTCATTTACCTGATGGCTCAAACCACTTCCTAGTGGGTATCTCTCTCATCCTACAGTTATGTCAACAGGGGGTCTGTTTACCAAGCAGCTGATGGGTGCTCCTGTCTGCCTTTTTAATAGAGCAATTTTCTCCTCTGTACCTGAGAAGGTCCTGAAAAAGAATACCCTATCAATACAAAGCTAGGGGTTTTATATGACAAAACTTTGCTGTACTTGGAAACCTGCCTCTCTAATGTTATGGTTTGTATATTATAGTGTTGTTTTATTTTCATTAGGCTATTGATTGAATTGACATTATTGTTTAGTATGTCTATTCTCCTTAATGTAGTCTTACCAACATTTTAAAACTGTTCACTGTTAATTTTAACTATTGTATTGTTTTTATTTGTATGTCACTTTGGACAAAAGCGTCTGCCAAATCCCACAACTATAACCATAAATATGATTTTCAACTTACCTGCTTCCTGCATACCGACAGTCGATTGGTCGCCGCATACGGTTTTCATTGGCTTTAGCGACAACTACCGATGATATTGGCACTGCCCTTATTTTGTTACCCCTTGGCTTGTGCCACTGCTGTGGTAGACTCGTGCAGGAGGACTTTGTTTGTGTTGTTGATGATGTATGGCTCAGCTCAGCATCTCTGGCTCTTGCCAGGTCCAAGGCGTAGATTAGACCCACGACGTGTGAGCAGTAGCCTGGCGCGCTAAAAATATAAGCGGGAGAATGTTATCATTGCAAAGTGGTCAGGCTGTTTTGTGTTTATTCCACAAGATTTATGGATAAGCTGTTTGATTTATAATTATTAGATTATTTTCAAATTTCACTTACCCTGCTGTGCATGAACATAGCTGTTTCCCATTTGAATGGTCAGCGTACGAGGCGGCTGCTGCTTGCGCTGGGACCTATAGGCTTTAGCTTCAATTTTGATGAAATTATTCTCTAATCGGTTGCATATTATGTCGTGGATATATCCCTCGAATGCATACTGCAGTCAGTCCCTTTTGTCTTGCTCTCTCAGATATTTCACCTGTTCGCCAAAAATTACTAATTATCTCCTTGGGAATGTCTGAGAAGTGCATACATACTGTAATAGACGTGCCAGGCGCTAAAGCTTGTCAGGCATAGCAACAGTAACTAAGGAGGGCGGGGCTTAGCGAAGGGTCAATTCCCATAGCAATGTCTCGTTCCCTCATCTCAGGGAACCGAGGTTACGTGAGTAACCGAGAGCGTTTTCCCCAAGCGGCAACCTCCCCCTCTCTCTCGTGAAGCCAACAAGGAAGTGACTTAAACTGTAATTCATCGACTGGCCGCTAGAGGCTGGCTGCAAAAAGCTGTCACCACCGTCGAGCTAGGTGGGCGTGGCTTCACCAACCTGCTCCCGCCTCTTTGCCCATTTTCGATTATCCGGGAATGACGCGCGGTGATGCGCTGCCAAAATGGCGACTGCCGCCTCCACCCACTTTTGAGCTTCAAAAACGCTCTTCGGAAATCTACGGGTGACGTCACGGATACTAGTCCATGATTTTATACAGTCTATGGTTTTCCCCCACGCCGACTCCGCCCACACAGCTATGATGCGACACCGATCAAGTCTATTACAGCACCAAAGATAATCTATTCTTGAACATTTCGAATGAATAAAGACTTCAAGTTCATCTGTAAATCACACAAAGCTATCGTTTGACTTTATAAAACTTTTATTTCATGCATGATTCGTATGGATCTGTTAACTGAATGCAAAGTGTGAATTCTAGGAGAATTCGTTGTAATTTTTAAATTAAATTCTTAGAAATATTAAACGTAATGATAACCATTCAACACTCAAAATATGAGAAAATAGAAAAACGAGTTACTGGATAACATTTTTCCAAGATCAAGAACAACTTCCCTCAAGATGCTTCTTCAGATTAGACGTTGAATCCTTCGATGCTGATAGAAGTTTTGTTGCAGGTAGGCATTGCATTGCGCTGAGATGTTACGTCCTTTTTCAGATTTATAAGTAAAATAGTCTATTTCCACGAGAGAAATGCATTACACGAATGGCTTTCTGTTGTGTCGTCCATTTTTGTGTCGTGATGATGAGCGTATGCACTCTCAATACGAGTTGCTAAATGAATAGGCTGCTGCACGCAGTTTTTTTTTTTTTTTTCAAAGGAGAATCAGTTGCCTTATTGGTTAAAATCTCCAAACTGTTTACTTAAATATTAAATTAAGAAATGACATTAAAATTCAAAGTAATCACTTTGGTAATCTAAAATACTTGTCGGATGTAACTGTAATTTGATTACCACCTATTTAAAATGGAATTATAACGAAATACAGTTACTCATATTTTGTATTTTAAATACGTAACGCCGTTAAATGTATTTCGTTACTCCCCAGCCCTGTATATATATATATATATATATATATATATATATATATATATATTTTTGTATTTTAAATACGTAACGCCGTTACATGTATTTCGTTACTCCCCATATACTGTATATGTGTGTGTGTGTGTTTATAGATATGCATGTTATTTTCTTTTTTTTGCATCCATTACTATTCATATGTTTGTCGTGAACAGTAATTGATTGATATTTTGTAGCATAGTAAATCAGGTTAAGAACAAGCAACCAGGAACCTTATTACAGAAAATTCCAGTTCAACACTGCAGCTGGAATTGCTCGGCAGTTCAGCATTGATCAGGGTAAGGATCTGTCTCGGCACGTTTCAGAGAAGTCGGACTGAAAGCGCACTCTGCAGTGACCAAGCCTCTCATCAGCAGAAGAATCAAAAGGCTAGACTCACCTTTGCTGAGGAGCATGTTGTGTGGAGAGAGGATAACTGGTCCAAAGTTCACTTTAGTGATGAGAGCAAGTTTAATTTATTTGGGTCTGATGGGAAACATTTTGTTCGGTGTCAAACTGAGGAAAGACTGAAGCCCAAGTGCGAAAAGAAGTCAGTAAACGGTGGAGGAGGAAGTGTCATGGTTTGGGGGATGTTTTCTGCAGCAGGAGTTGGGCCTCTTATACAGACACATGGCAGGTGAATGCAAACGTTAATCAGAACCTCCCTCAGCAACATGCAGTTCCTTCCCTGCAAGCATCTCCCAATCAGCCTGCAATTTCAATGCAAGACAATGTCCCTGTCACACTGCAAAACGAGTAAAGCATTGAAATAATGAAATGGCGGTCCAGAGTCCTGATCTAAACCTGACTGAAAATCTCTGGAAAATTCTTGGTGACAGATGGCTAAGAAACCCACTACAGTTACTGAACTATGAAAGAGAGTAGAAGAAGAGTGGAGCAAGATCACGACAGTGCAGTGTGAGAAACCAGTGATATCCTGCGGCCGCAGATGTGCTGAAGTTATTCAAAGTGAAGGCCTCTACACTTCTCATTTCTGACAACTGTAACCCTCCAAAATTTAAGTTGTAATCTTCTTTCGTGCTAAAGTGGTTACTGTTCTCTAATTTTGATCACTGTGTTTTCACAAAATAAAGGTTTTTGTTGAAATGCCTTGGTTATTTTGTCAAACATATTCCTTCAAATTTTGAGCGATGAAGATTAACAATATTTCAGAAAAAATCAAGTATTTATAGATTGTTCTCTAATTGTGATCTCCACTGTATGTATATACACACACTCACACACACACACACCCCCGGAACGTGATCGCGAACGGACCAAGGGGGGCCCCGCTCCAGGCTACCTTGCACTCAGCTAAGGACAGCCCTGGATATGGATATGCACTACTGTTAAAGCTTTGGGATCACAATTTTTATTTATTTATTTAAATAAATAATACTTTTATTCAGCAGGGATATATTAAATTGATCAAATGTGACAGGAAAGGCATTAATGTTACAAACGATTTCTGTTAAAAAAAAATGCTGTTGTTTACAACGTGATGTGATGGCTTCCATAAAAATATTAAATAGCACAACTGTTTTCAACACTGATAATGATAAGAAATGTTTCTTGAGCAGCAAATCAGCATATTAGAATAGTTTCTGAAAGATCATGTGACACTAAAGAGTCTAAAGACTGATGCTGAAAATTCAGCTGTACCATCAAACCACATTTTTGTGGCATATAAATGTTATTTAAAATTGTAATAATATTTCACAATATTACTGTATTTTTGAGCAAATCTGCAACCTTGGTGAGCACAGGCTTCTTTCAAAAACATCAAAAAATCTTACAAACCCAAACTTTTGAATAGTAGTGTAACTTTAAACCTAGCAACCTGTTTAGCTATCTAAATTAATCTAATTTGTAATCATAATCCTCAACACCTCTCCATCTTACCTATTAAGTTCTGTATTGATTTCAAAATATTGCTACTGACCTATAAGGCACTAAATGGTTTAGCTCCTGTATATTTAACTGATCTTCTTATGCCCTATAATCCACCATGCTCTTTAAGGTCATGAAACTCTGGACTTTTAGTAGTGCCTAAGATATCTAAGTCCACTAAAGGAGAGAGATCATTTTCCCATCTGGCTCCTAAACTCTGAAATAGTCTTCCTGATAATGTCCGGGACTCAAACACACTCTCTCTGTTTAAATCTAGATTAAAGACACATCTCTTCAGCCAAGAATTCCTATAATGAATCTCAATCTCACCCTTGTTCCCAGTTAGATCAGATAAAAGTCACAAATATATTTTTAGCTTGAAACGTTATGAACAGCAGCTACGCTAATTCTTTTCCACTGCCTTTCTGTTCCTACCCCGGGATGCCCATCTCGAGGTATCTAAAGATCACACCAGCTCCAGCCTTATAGAAAGACTTCAGATGACCCAACACCTGTGAAGAGATGATGCTGACCCCTTGCGAGGACCCCAGATGACGCCAACTTGAATCGACATTTGAAGCTGCCAAATTTTCTCTATATTGTAATCATTATGATAACACTTGTAATAATCGCTTTAATGAGCTTCTGCCTGAAATTAATTCATGTTAGCTAACTGTATGATTCTATTATCTTGAACTGTTCATTTGTGAAATGAACATTACTTGGACAAATTCACTTCTGATAACAGATCACTCTAAATTGTAATGTAGACATGCATTTTCTGTAAAGCTGCTTTGAAACAATGTGTATTATGAAAAGCGTTATACCAGGGGTGGCAAACTCCGGTCCTGGAGAGCCGCAGCCCTGCAGAGTTCAGCTCCAACCCTAATTAAAACTCACCTGCCTGTAGCTTCCTAGTAACCGTTCAGCCCTTGATTAGCTCGTTCAGGTGTGTTTGGTTAGGGTTGAAGCAAAACTCTGCAGAGCTGCGGCTCTCCAGGACCGACGTTCGCCACCCCTGCGCTATACAAATAAATTTTCTTTGAATTGAATTGAAATCTTATGGTCAAATATAGACACTATGCTGGTTTACTGTACTGGTACTATTATATAATCATTATTTTATTTGAGGTTTTGGGGCTACAAGACTAATTTGATATCAGCATCTTAAAAATATATTCATGCATATAAGCATGTCGACTGGGCTGATATTCCTGAACTTTGACTGTGGCAACCTCAAAAATGCTATATGGAACGGAAGCCGGTAAAAAAACCAAATACATAAAAACACGATTATAATTCAAAATCACAAATATGAGAAATAAAGTTATTTGTCTTATTTCTTCTTCTGAGGCATGACAAGGCTTCCATAAAATGGGTAAACCACATAAACTACAACACTAAACTACTTGTGACTAGTCCTATGTTAACATGCCAATTCTAAAGTACATTATCTGTCAAACAGATCACTGCAAAATTCACTTCTAAATAATGGCCACAAATAAGAAGCATATTCATATATAAAACATATTTATGTGCATTCAATTGTTTTTTACATTCAATTGTGTATCTATTAGTAATACTATCTCATTTGTGTCAACATGTGCATTGTTTTCCATGTTAAAATTTAAGGTTTAATGTGCAGCGATACCTGTAAGACATTTGTATGCTGAATTCCCTGAAAAGTGTAAACC